TATTATGAATTTGGAATATTCAGCACAATTTACGGGGGGAAAGATATGCCAAATTGGATTACACATAGAAGCAATGGGCCATCAATATCACTTACCATTTTATCATCTCCAAACAAGCCTAGAGGATTTAATTTCTGCTATGTCAGTACATATCGATTGCCAGTGATCATTATTCATAATATAACAAAAAACCGAACCTGGATATATGAACATTGCATTGCCAATGTTGGTGTAGGTGAAGAGTCTTACACTGTGTTAAGCCATTGGATGTTTAGGATGAATGAGATGGAAGGTGGTGACTTGGTTAGTATCACTCTAAGAAACTTTATGTCATATAGTGGAATTGCAATGGAATGTGGGGTGAGTGTTGTTTATGATGAGGGAAACACGGATGAAGAAGATGCATTGGGTTATTACAAGTCATGGAATCACATCATTGGTGGAGATCTTACTGGGTATCAGCTAACAACAGGAGAATACATCCTAAGCATATTGCGAATTACTACACATGGTGTCAAACCATTTATGAGATATGGTAAATTTGTTGGAGACCGCGACTACTATAAAGGTATATATCATTCTACTTATTAAATAATTTTTTGTTGTATCCTATATATGTATTACTTTTTCTCTAGTTTTTGTGTGCCAAAAGTTCATTGATTAAAATCAGAGTTTATATCTATAAAATATGAAACAAGTTTTAAATTTTAATCGATCAAGTTTTTGATATTTTGGATCACATAAATGTAAAGATTAGATCTGACCCACACATTAAGAAGCCTAACTACAACTACTTTGTCCAAGAGGATGCATGTAAATGATAACTAACGTAATACTTTTTCTCTATTTTTATCAGGAGATGAAATGCTGTTTACAGCTTTATCCCAAAGGAAGCCAGCCATAGTTGGTCACATACCCGAGGTATACTTTTTGACACTTACATCTTTCTCTTATCACATTAATGTTATCATCAAATTTCTTGATTAGTCCATGATTTTAACAAAATAAATGGAGTTGTAACCTTGCAATATTGAATGCTAGGAAATTGGAACATCTACGTGCAACGATCTCATCCTTAATGATGAGGATGAGGTCCCTGTCGTGGCTGAGGTCAAGTTCGAGGCTGAGTCTGAGTCTGAGTCTGAGGTCGAAGTCGAGGTTAGGGTCATGGTCGAGGCTGAGGTAGAGCAACATGCTAAACGTTCATGTATGTGGAGGAAGTGGTTTAACTGTACACGGCATAACTTTTATATAAAGAATTAGGCAGCCATGAGCACTCCATGAAACGTCTCAACAGGATTGTGAAGCCCAAATTCATTTCTTTAGGGGTCTGATTTCAAAGTATTTGGTTTTTATCAAGATTTTCTGTTTTTTTACTTAATTAAATCGTGTGATTTTGTCAATCGGGCGATATTTTATACTATATATTATAGTTATTTTAGTTTCTTTCGTATTTTAAATTTTTTCTTAGAAGATATACTTCCCATATTATTTTGTGTTTATTTGATGTAATTTATTGTATATATCTTTTCCATAGTTATAGGGATCACGTTGTATTTATATCTCCATTTGTTTAATAGAAGATCGACACAGAGATACCCAAACTTATGGTAGCAAGCCCTTGCAAACCGAGTTTTTGGAAATATAGGGTAGTTTTGAGAATGGTTGGTAGAATAGGGCAATTTTTTTCTTTTGTAGAAATGGTCTTTTTCTTGGGGTCCCACCGATTGACCTTAATTTTAGAATTCAACAAATATTGAATGTTACATTTTTATTCCTCTAACTTACATCATTAATTTCTTGTTAGCTTTTATTAACAAAACTTTAGTTTTTACTCTTATTATTAAAAATATATAATTAAATTCTAATTAATATTTTGAATAACTTATACCATTAATATAAAATTCATATATATATGGGAAAAGTGAATATACCCTTAAGGGTATATAAGATTAGGTACCAATGCTTAAAACTACGTAGTTTTGATTACTGTTTCAATTTTTCTGAAAAAAAAAAAAAAACAAATTCGTTCAAATATTTACTACGTTTCCTTAATCTAATGATCACGTCGACAATTTTCTTAATTCGAATCAGTGCATGATCATCGTTGTCAAGAAATCGCATTCACCAAAAAACGATTTCATAGAAATCAAAATTCATCAAAACCAATTTCAATAAAATCAGAATTTTGTTCAGGGAAACTTAATTTCTCCATGATTTCCTGCTTCAATGATCGGCTGCTTCAAAGAAATCGTGATTCACATAAATGATTTTAAATAAATCAAAAATTAAAGGTCAAAACAAAAAGCTTGATTCACAAAAATCATGATTCCATGTAGGAGAACGAATTAAGTACAACTTTTAACAAAAAAATAAAAAAGAGAATAAATGTTATTGAAATAATTTAATTTTCTGGAAAAAAAAAAAAATAATTTCCTTAAAAATAATCTACGTTTCCTTATTCTTGGTGAAATCCAACTCAGGTTACTCCTTCTTTTTCGAATGATAGCTATCGACTTCACCAATTCACAGAAAAAGAAAAAAAATCGGTGATTCATGCAATCACAAGACGACTACTTAATACCGATAAATCAAATAAAAAAAACCTTTGAGTTCTCGAAGTTGGATGCGTTGATCATACAACTTTCTCACAACAGCAAAATCGATTGCAATCAAAGATCGGAATTAACACTAATCGTTATTCACATTAAAAAAAAACCCTTCACCGTAAAAAAAAACTGCAATTCACAACAGCAAAGTGGATTTCGTCTTGTCTAACAGGTTGGTCAATTCCTCAATTTATAAGTTTATCAAGTTTATTATCGAATACCTATTAATATTCTTCTAAATCTCAATAAAAAAGAAGTTGCAATTCATGAAATTGGGTTATAGGTGTTGTAGTTAACTTGCTATATTCCACCAATCACAATTAACGGAAAAACTAAAAAGTTTTAATTCAGGAATTTGAATTCGATCAAACAGTACCAAGTAATTTTTTTCTGAAACTTATTTTTTGAAGTTTTTCTGATTTTATTATTGACATTGTTGTTTCTAGAGGTAGACATTGCGGGTTAACGATTTTTCTGAAAAGATAAAATATCCAATGTATTTTATTTTTGTTTTAGTTTTTCATTGTTGGTTGTTAATATAATTTTTACGTATAATGTTTCAATATGCGTTGTTGTCTATTGTAGGCAATAATGAGTGAAGCCGAGGCAACAAATCAAGCTATAGAACCATATATAACCGGAGATATTGACACAAGTGATTATGTGGATGCAACATATATGAAAGTGAAAAAATAAATAGTATCGGTGTGAACATTGAATTTGACGAAGATGATGTTAATGATGAAAGGATATTGGGAAAGGTTTTTGATACGCCCGATGATGCCTATACATTTTATAATGATTATTCATTTTTGCATGGCTTTGGTATACGTAGAGATGACACAATTAAAATCCTAAAACAAATGAGCCCTTTCGGAAGATATATGTATGTAACAAAGAAGGCTTCAAAAGGATGGACAAAGATGCTTCAAGTGAAAATGAGAAAAAACGTCGTAGAGATGTTAGAACCGGATGTCAAGCAAAGCTTCGAATAACAAGACAGGAGGATGGAAAATGGTTGGTGGACTTGTTTAATGACACACACAATCATGACTTGACCATGACACCTACGAAGGTGATAAAGCATCGATCTCATAGCAATTTCCACCGTTCAATAGAAGGTAAATCTCTTATGGTGCAATTTGGTCAAGCAGGGTTGAAACCTTCTCAAATTAAAAAGGCTGTTAATACAATGAAAACCTCAAATGTAGCTGATGTAACTTCAAAGCAATGTGCCGATGTTTTATCTGAGCATCGAAAACAACATAGAGGAAAGGAGTTTTATGGACTTATAAAACATTTTCAAGATAAAACATTAGTGGACAGTGACCAGTATTTTGTCGTGGATTTGTCTGATGACGGGTATCCTAGAAATATCTTTTGGGCAGATGGTAGATCAAGAGATGCCTATACAAAATTCAGAGATGTTGTTGTGTTTGATGTCACTTATATGACTAACAAATTCAAGATGCCTTTTGCTCCCTTTACTGGGGTGAATCATCATGGACAATCTATACTATTTGGTGGAGCATTGCTTGAAAACGAAAAGGAAGAGACATTTGAATGGTTATTTGAACAGTTCCTCAAATGTATGTTTGACAAGTATCCGAAGGCAATTATTACCGATCAAGACAAAGCTATGGGCAATGCAATAAAAAAAGTGTTTCCAAATACCCGACATCGCTTTTGTTTATGGCATATCAGGAAGCATGAAACTGAGCACCTTCGATCGTATGTTTCCCGTTACAGTGATTTTCAAGAGACTCACAGACAATGGGTAAATAGTGACACCATTGAACAATTTGAAGCAACATGGGAAGATATGCGTATTAAGTATGAACTAGAAAGCAATTGTTGGCTTAGTGATATGTATAACCAACGTATACATTGGGCTAAACCCTTCTTGAAGGATATTTTCTTTGCTGGTATGACCACAACCGGACGAAGTGAGAGTATCAATTCCTTTTTTGATGGATTTGTTAACTCGAGGACCATGTTGAATGAATTCGTTGTACAATACGACAAAGCAGTTGAGTCACGAAGGGCTGCCGAAGAAGATGAAGACTTCAAGACTATGAACTCGAGACCAGTTCTTTCTTCAGTGCATCCAATCGAAGCAAAAGCGGGTCAATTTTATACTAGGAAGATGTTTGATACTTTCAAAAAAGAATGGAGTGAAGCTATTACCAATTTGACTCACACGAGACTATAACAAAACTACAGAAGAAAGCACATATAGAGTTGGGCAATTGGATGTTGATAATAAATATTGGCGTATTGTTATCTTTCGCTCTTTAAATCAAGTCAGCGTCACATGTTCGTGTTCTATGTATGAGACAAATGGGATTTTATGCAAGCATAGCTTATATGTGATGAAGAAGAAGCATGTTCAAGAACTACCGAATCACTATATTTTACCGCGATGGACCATTGATGCTAGGTACAAACTGGGTAGTGCTAGTATTGAACTCAGAGAATTAAATAATGAAAATGGAGTTAGTGCCTACACATTATTTTGTGTCCGTTCAAATTTTACTAAACTAATTGAACAAGCAAGGGACTCCCCTTCGGAGATACAAAAACTTAATACAATATTGATAAGTCTTTTAGATGAACAAGCAAATCGAAAAAAATCTACGTCCTTGGAAAATGCATCTCAAAGTTCTTGTATGGGAGTTCCGCAAGTAGATATGATGCCACAGTTATCTATCCGTGATCCTCTTGGTCCAACTACTACAAAAGGGCGTCCAAAACTTGCAAGTAGAATAAAGTCTTCTTTAGAAGCCCCTAAAAAACGAACATGCTCTTACTGTCAAGGATTGGGTCATTATGCTACTAGTTGTTCAAAAAGAAATAATTATATAATAAATTTATTTTCATGATTGAGAACTCTAATGATTAAAATATAACAAGTTTTTTATTTTTTTCAGTAATCAGGCGGATGAATCGTTGCAAAGACATAATGGATGAGATGTGTTTGTTTCTGTGGCAAAAGAAAACTAGATGCTTCATGAGGGTATTTTTATGAAAAAAGCGGAAATATGATGGTATTTTTGTGAAAAAAACGGAAGTATGATGGTATGTTTGTGAAAAAAAATGGAGGTATGAGGGTATTTTGTGAAAAAAAAAAAAGTATGAGGATATTTGGGGTTAAAAATGAAAGTAGGTTGTCATTTTGGGTTCAAAACAAAACTTTTCTGTAATTTTGGGTGAAAATGAAAAAAAGCTGTCATTTTGGGTTCAAAACGAAACTTTTCTGCAATTCTATGTTAAAAATGAAAGTAGGCTGTCATTTTGGTTAATGTTGTGTTAATCTACGTATAAATTTGATGGTTTTTAAAATTATGGGACGATTTTGCCCCTGTCCCAAAGATGGTATTCCTCAAGAACTTAAGGATATGGAAGTTCAACTCACTTAAACAATACGACCAAAAGCGAAGAATCTCAATTGCTAATTTTGATTAAAAATGATAAGTATAAGTACATTTCTCACTTTGGAAAAAAAAAGGGTAAGTACACTATCAGACAACAATCGCATCTACAATTCTAGAGTTTTTTTTGTTAAGATCATTTGATCTCAAATCTTTTGGGCTCTTAATATGTCATTATGTCCTTCATTATGCAAAAATGATTTCCAGATCATGGAACCTGCAA